CTAGAAAGATAGGGATATTAACAGAAAATAGAAGGAGTGAATCTTCCTGAATATCTACTATGTTCCAGACCCCCTGTTCGGTAGTTTATAACATTGTTTCATTTCACCTTTCCTTTATATCACTCCTATGAGGTAGGTATCATTAGTCCCATTGTATGCACAAGAAAGTTGGCAGAAAGGTAGGTCACTGTTGTACGATGCCTACCCAGGGATTCGAACTCCAGACATCCACGCTGTTCGCAGGACTCCTCACTGCTATATTATCCAGGAGATTCTCGCTCCTATTCCTCAGCAGTCTGGATGAAAACCAGAGTAGAAGCCAAAGGACTCCCCTCTTCCTTGTCCAGGTACTAGGCGCGCTCCCTCACATCCCGTGTGCTCTTGCTGCCACCTGCTGGCAGCCGTGCACATCCGGCGCCCTCTGTCAGCCCGGCAATCCCCGGGAAGGAAAATCCATCTGGCTCCAAAAAAGGCAAGAAGCTCAAGGCAGACACCAGCTGATGAATCTTCCCCAAAGCTGGGCAAGCTGTAAGGGAGGAATAGTTCTCACACCTCCTGGGGCATAAGCACTTTCTACTTCCTAACTGTGCTCAGTTTTTATCTGATTTTGTCTGTCTCCAGGTGTTGGAAGAAAGCAGATTCTGTTATCCAGGCCATGGCAATTAGAATGCTGGTCCCTTGCTCAGCTGGGGTACTCCACGGTGCCTCGTGATGTCATTCTGACCACCTCCTTGACATCCCACAAACCATCAGGTAGCAAATAGGCCGTCGGGCAAGCAGAGTCCAAGCGGTTGGCAAAGCCATGCCTGGTCTCCTCTCTGACTCCTGGAAAATCCGCCATTGTGGGTCGGGGCCCTCATCTGGTAGCCAAGACTCCAGGGGACTCTGCCCCCTTTATCACAGACACCACACACACACACACACACACACACACACACACACGGCCAAGTAGAATGACTTGTCATTTGGGGTGGACTGTCACACTTTTGTTTTTCTTTGGGGGAAAACCTAGCTGCGGGGGTGGGCGGGTGGGGGAGCTTATTTCTGACTGTTGGGAAAAAAGAAAGCAGAAATTGTTGTCACGACAATTAGGAGCTCATCAAAGCCTCGTTTTGCTCCTCAGCCGTCCTGGCCCTCCGTCTTGCACCCCCGCATGTTCCTCTAATTCAATGCCCACCTAATGAATAACTCCCAGGAACAAAAGACCCTTTCAGGCTGCCTCACATAATTATTAGAGAAGCCTTGCATAACTGTCGCAGACAACTCATGTTTTCAGGCCTGTCTCCAAATTTGGTTATTCACAACCTTTATAGCTCAATATTATTGCCTAACTGTGATCATTTTCTAATTATCCTAATAATACCTATTAAATAATTCCCATTAAATCACTTGAACTGAAGCAGCACAGGCCAGCTCAAATACGACTTAACCTAATAAGCATTGGTCATTCATTAAGCAACAGGGCGATCTCTTAAAGGGACTGAATAGAAAATTGAACCGCACAGGAATATTATTATTGCACAAATGTTATTACAAGTTATAGTGTATTAATTTTGATGCCTGCTTTGAGGCCACGCTCCCTGACTTGACTGCCCCTTGATGAGCTGCCTCTGTCACCTGTACAAGGACAGTCAAGGAGAAAAAGGCCCATAAACTCAACAGGGGAATTGAATTACCAGGGACAGAAAGGGAATTAATGGAATCCATCTTCTGGCTGGCTCAGTGCACCTTTGACGACACCTCACACTGGCTAGCTTTTTTTCTTTTTTAAGATTTATTTATTTACTTGAAAGGCAGAGATACAAAGAGAGAAAGAGAAACAGTGAAAGAGAGAGAGAGATCTTCTATTCACTGGTTCATTCTTCAAATGGCCACGACAGCCCAGGTCAGGCCAGGCCAAAGCCAGGAGCCAGGAGCTTCTTCTGGGTCTCCCATGTGGGTACAGGGGCCAAAGCCTTCAGGTCTTCCTCTGCTGCTTTCCCAGGTGCATTAGCAGAGAGCTGGATCAGAAGTGGAGCAGCTGAGATTCAAATTGGCACCTATATGGGATGTCGGCACTGCAAGCAGAAGCCTCGCCTTCGACTCCATGGCGCTGGCCCCCTGGCCAGGTTTAACTATGACTTCAGATAGGCCCCTCCCACCCAACGCACACATTAGGGATGAAGTAGGGATGACAGGAATTTACAGAAGCTTTAGAAACTGTGTTTGTATAATTTTAATTTTAAGCAACAAAGAAAGATAAATCTTGGGACTGGTGTTATGGTGCAGTGGGTTAAGCCACCACTTGCAGTGCCAGCATACTATATCTGAGTGCGGTTCGAGTCCCGGCTGCTCTGCTTCCATTCCAGCTTCCTGCTGATGTACCCAGGAAGCAACAGAGAATGGCCTAAGTACTTGAGCTCCTGACCTGCATTGAGTTCCTGGATTCTGGCATCAGCCTGGCCCAGCATCGACTGTTGCAGCCATCTGAGGAGTGAACGAGTAGATAGAGGAGCACTCTCACACACACACTCTATCATAATTCTTTCTAATAAATGAATAAAATAATTATATCTTAAAATACTTAATATCATAAAATACTAGTAATATTTTTGATATTTAATAATACTTGGTAAAAGCCTATTTAGGTCATTTTTTATGCCTACAATGCAGTACGCACTCTGGTAGAAACTTTGCCCACCAGCAACCCCAATTCTCAAAATGGAGATTATCCACATTTTTTTTTTTTTTGACAGGCAGAGTGGACAGTGAGAGAGAGAGACAGAGAGAAAGGTCTTCCTCTGCCGTTGGTTCACCCTCCAATGGCCGCCGCGGCCGGCGCGCTGCAGCCGGCGCACCGCGCTGATCCGATGGCAGGAGCCAGGAGCCAGGTGCTTTTCCTGGTCTCCCATGGGGTGCAGGGCCCAAGCACCTGGGCCATCCTCCACTGCACTCCCGGGCCACAGCAGAGAGCTGGCCTGGAAGAGGGGCAACCGGGACAGAATCCGGCGCCCCGACCGGGACTAGAACCCGGTGTGCCGGCGCCGCTAGGCAGAGGATTAGCCTAGTGAGCCGCGGCGCCGGCTGATTATCCACATTTTTCAGAGGAGGAATCTAGGGTTAGAGAGGGTGACTGATTTTCCCAAGACTGTACCGCCTGAACAGAGCAGCAAAGAACTTGAACACAGGGCCCTCTGATGCCTGCCACGCCAGTTTTCCCATCATGCCACCTGCTGGAGCACACCCTAGCTCTCCTGGCACATCCTTTACATGTCTAACGCTCCCGTTGAAATCAGCAGATTCTTAAAGACAAGTGCCAGAGCCATCTGGGTTGGGAAGCTGCAAGGGAAGTTCTTTTTACCAAAAGTCCCTCTGGCAGCTACAGGGACAGGCAGCGAGAGCCACCAGTATTGTGAGGGAGCCCACTTCTGTTGGGCGTGTTTGGTGAGCTTTGCAGGGAAACGGACAGTGCATTCTAGTGAGAAAAGCAGTGAATATTAACAAATCAGCTACTCCAAGCCAGGCCCTGTGCTGGGGGTTCACGTGAATTGTCTTAGTTAATCCTCATCCCCAACAGCACAAACAGGTCTGATCACCACTCCCAGTTTACAAACAAAGAAACTGAGGTGCAGAGTGGGTAAAGTTAGCCTGCAGCACTGCTCTGACACCTCAGGCAGCTGCAGCCCCCAGCCTCCAGCTCTGCCCTTGCAAGGCTCTGGAGTGGCCCTCCCAGTCTGGCCTGCGTGACCTGGGCTGAGCCTCAGGCCCCAGGAGATCCAGATCTGCCCTGGGTAGCATCAACTCGCAAAGAGTCCGACTTTCACAGTAACTGAGACCCTGACCTTTCACTGGGTTGACAGGAATAGGCTGCTAACACTGTGGCACTTAGAGATGTGTGTTTTGGGGTTTAGTTATACACTTTTATATATATATATATATATATCACATGTTATATGTTATACACCTCACACCCAGAAAGCAGAAGACATCACAGAGCTACAGAAACAACACCTGTCCCAGCCCAGCAAATTCTCCAATTTGCTATCGCACTAATTCATTGTCCCTCCAATTTGTTATCACACCACTGCAGGGTTCCTAAGACGCCAGAGTCTTTAAGTCATTGCTCATGGGTTAGGAGATTTCCTGTCTCCTTGTGCTTGGCTTCTGCATTTCCTAACCACCCTGGTTAGCTCCTGTGTCTCCCCTGGTTCTCGACTTCGATGTCACCCCTTCAAGGAAGCCCAGGCTCAGGGCTCCCCTACCCCCAGCATCAGTTAGAAGCCTCCTGGTCTGTTCACACTGTCCCCTAATGCTGGTGCCTTTCACAGCACATGGCATGCTCTATTGTGTTTTTCTCCACTGACATGTCTGAATTCCTCAACGCACTGCAAACTTCTCAAGGCCAAAACTGCAAGGTACTCACTGTTACAGACAGTGTGCTGCAGTCCGCCAGGCAGCAGGTCTTCTCCAGGCGAGCTCTAAGAATCTGAAGCTATCAGTGGGACTATCACCATTTATTCCCCTGCCTTAGATCAGGAAATATGCTAACAGAAGCGTTATATATCATTTCTTCATTAGTCTTTAATTCAGCTCATTTTAGATGAGAAGCCTAAAGTTTACAAAGCTTTGTAAAGTGACTGACCCAAGCTCATTCAGACAGCAAACAGAGACACCAACACTCTGACCCCAACTCTGGGCTTTGGATTGCTACCAACGTGGCTTGAACACCTCAGTCTGTGTCCTGAATGTATCCTCACCTCTGACTTGCAAAGAACATTTAACACCAGTTGGAAGGGAGACTGAGCAGACCGGCAACCCAGTTATAAGGCCTACAGGTGGATCAGGGCCCTTGATTTTAAACGTGGGAAGCAGGTGTAGATTTGACACCATCTCCATACCCACAGAATGCTCTGCAGCTGACCCTGTCTCGTTGTTTTGTCCGGAAGGTCAGGCCAGCACTAGCTTCAGCCCATGGACAGAGACCCATGGCTGCTGCTCAGTCTGCTCGGGTTGGGCCATACCTGCTTCTCCTCTCAGCGCCTTCTCCAGCCTCACGCCCTGGATCTCCGAAGCCCTCTGCCGCACCTCCACCTCCTCCAGCTGCCTCTGGATGGCCTGCAATGCCGGGATCACACGTCACATGGGCATTCTCTACGTGTCGAGTCACATGAGGGGGCTGGGTCTGCTGCTTGCTCTCCAGGAGGAAGCAGTACTTGACTTGGGATGTCACTGCCTTGACTGATGGACAAGCAACTCTGAATTCTCAAACTAGACCTGAGGGCTCCCATCTTTACTATGAAACACAAGCAAGGTATATATTCTGTCCATCCCAGATGGATGCTAAAACAGTCCCCCTTGCGAAGGTCAGATGCACAGATGTCCTCTATGACAGGCATATTGGGCTGGGCGGGGAGCGGGCGGTCCTCATAGCTTCGCGGCCTCTCACCAGTGCCCAGAGCTGCAGCCACCTCCCAGAGTGCAGCAGGGGCTCCTGGGGCAGACAGCACACATTCACTCCACTTTCCCAAGGAGAACCAGCAGACGCCTCCCGAGAGGTGGGGGGCGGGGGCAGGAGACTGGGCTTGCTGCTTTTTCAGACTCTTCCGCTCCCTTAGCTACAAGCTGCACCTGCTGTCTCCTTGCACCACGGCTGCTGCCCAGGGTCCTTTCTCTGCAGACATGTACTGTCACTTTGTTACTGACAGGTCGTTAGGATACAACCCCAGGGCACAACCTCTGACTCCCCTTAGACTCATCAGAGACACCTATTACGGTTTGGAGTCACGACTGGGTGTGCATTTATAGTTCTTCTCCCTGCTGGCTACTTTACTCTTGTGCACACGAGGAAGGAAACCTAGTGAAAGCTTCTCCTACGTAACCTTTGTTCGTCCCATCAATGTTATTGGCTTTCAGACCCCATGCTGCCCAAAGGCACACCCTTGGCCCAGCAGGTCAGTTAAAGGGACTGTCAGCTGTTCCTCCTCCCCTTACTTCAGTTCCATCTCACTCCCCTTCCTCCTTAACCCCACAGCCTCCTAAGTCTCCCCAGCAACCACAGGCACATCCAACCCTGAGAAGAGGCTGCCGCAGGGGTGGGGCCCGAGTGGCCCCCTGGCTCTTCTTGTCCCAGCAAGTGCTTAAGCCCCAAGCCTGTCATCTGAAAGAGACAGAAATTCTATTTTAAAATGACTTGCGCTTTCATGCCCCCTTCCTCTCTGTCTCTCTTTTAAAGTCAATTAAATCTTTAGAAATCCATCTCTTTCTGGCATGGCACAGAATCACCAAAGAAGGGAAACATTTCAATGACTCTGTTACTGATTACTGTGCACTCACGGCCATGTGGTTGCTAGGGACTGAATGTCTCTGTCTCCTCTAAATTCATAGGCTGAAGCCTGAACCCCCAACATGATTGTGTCTGGAGTGTGAACCTCTAAGGAGGTGATTATGGCTAAATGAGGCCACGAGGGCGGGGTCCTAATCTGATGGGATCCATGCCCTTTAAAAGAAGAGGGAGAGATACCAGGGATCTCAGTCTCCCTCCCTCCCTCCCTTCCCCTGTCCCTGCCACCCCCACGGGTAAACATAGAAAGACCATGGGCAGACACAGCAGGAAGGCAGCCATCTATAAGCTGGGGAGAGAGGCCATGCCTGTGACACCTTGAACTTGGACTCCTAGCCTCAAGAATGGTGAGAAAAATAACCGTCTGCTGTTTAAGCCACCAGGCTGTGGTGTTCTGTTATGGCTGCCCTAGCAGGGTCACCCGGTGCTCATTCTTCAAAACCAAAGGGTAAATGTCTCAAGACGCAAGGGGACACTGTGGTTGCTGGCAGGTTAGAACCCAAAAGGCCGCTCCAATCCTTCTCTAATTGACACCTGCTGTGTGCAGTGAGAAGACAAGGAGGAGAAATTGCTGAGTTAGCTCCGGGGAGTCTGTGGGAGTGTGCCCTGCCACAAGGGGAGGGTAGCTCCTGCCTTAGCTCCTGGGAAGGGTACGGAGGCCACTATGTGACTGCATTCTTGCCAGAGACAATCCATGGGATGGTGTGACCAGCTGCAGGCAGAGCTGGAGAGAGGGCTCTAAGGCTCTGTTATTGCATCAACAGGAGTGGCCATCCTACGTGGGCGTGTCTGCAACCCCAACTGTTCTCCCCGGCTAGGGTAGGGTCCGCAGGGGGACGGAGCCTGTCGCGGCTCTGTTTCACGTTGCTGTCTGTGGCCGAGGCAGGCAGATCACCCAGAGCACGAATGTTTGGAGTCAGCAGCAAGGCTGGAAGTCTACCACTGGCATGCTGGAGAGCAGCGCTTTCAACTAATCCTGAAGAGCAGTCAGCCCCCAGCGGTCAGCTGTGCAGCAGAGACGCTGCCCCAGGGTTGGTGGAGGGCTTCTGTCCTCATAGAGCACAAAACTAAAACCAGTGCCACGAGGTCGTCAGGCCCAGGATGATTCCCAAGGCCATGTGCTGGCTCCCTGTGCAGGTGGACAGGGCTGGGCTGGACTGGGCCAGCTCAAATCCTGGCTCTGCAGGGCCCACAGTCCTGCTGGGGACTGAGCCAGGCCTTTCAGATACCACACGCCTGGTCTCTCAGAGAAGACTGCCCTCAGCCCAGTGGCCTCCCCCAGGATAAAGCAGACTCCCAAGGGGCTTTTGGTACGGATCCCCAGGACCCCAGTGTCCCAGGCTCCGGGCCACCTCTTCATCTCAAGTCCGTGTCTGACCTGAGCCTTATGGAGTCGTTTCAGTTCCTCTTGCTTAGCCAACTGCTTGGTTGCTTTTTCCAGCTTCCTTCTTTTTCTAAGCATCTTGTTCTCCTATGAAAACAAAGAGAAGAAAAAATCAGACTGAGAAAAATGGGGTTGAAATTTCCAAAATGTTGTCATAGGCTTCTGCCCTCTCCGAGCAATGGGTCCTGGTTATGGCTCAGCCTCCAGGATAACACCTTCAGTAGCACTTTCGGTTTTGATGGAAATGAGCTATAACTTTCCTGATCAAGATGGAGGAGCCACTGGCCATAGTGGCCATCAGGCCACCTGAAATGAGGCGAATGTGAATAAGGCATTGAATTTTAAATTTTATTTAATTTTAACGAATTTGAAAGTAATCTAAAGTGGCCACACATGGCTAGCAGGTGCTACATGGGGAAGCTTGTGTGTGTGTGCATGCAGGGGGTATGTAGGTGAGAGTGCTGGCTAGGTTTAGTGGAGGGGTGGAATGATACAAGAATGATGCTTTACATGGGTGTGACCATACAGCCCAGGGCTGATGGGCCTGGGAGAGACAGAGAGCCAAACTCTTTCACTACATGAAAACCAGTTAACAATCTAAAATAGTACTTAGGGGCCAGTGTTGTGGCATAGCAGATAAAGCACTGCCTGCAGCACTGGCATCCCATATGGGCACTGGCTCAAGCCCTGGCTGCTCCCATTCCAATCCAGCTCCCTATTAATACACCTGGGGAAGCAGCAGCAGATGGCCCAAGCGCTAGGGCCCCTGCACCCACGTGGGAGGCCCAGAAGAAACTCCTGGCTCCTGGCTTCAGACAGCCCAGTTCCAGCTGTTGCAGCCATTTGGGGAAAGAACCAGCAGATGGAAGCTCTCTCTCGTTCCCTCTCTATCTACCTGTAACTCTGCCTTTCAAATACATAAATAAATCTTTAAAAACATAGCACTTAGTTTGGGTCTCATTGCTCATACCAATGCAGCATGACCATCACTGAGTTTTGTGTGTGTGCCTGGGGTGGTTAAACAAGGAAAGAAAAAAGAAGATTCAAAATTGTGTGAAACAGAGGTCTGAATCTTGAAGGCGTTGCTTTTCAGAGAAAGGGGAAGTGGTGGTGTGGTCAGCTCCACCTGTTGGAAAGTTCAGGATACACCTGGTCAGAGAAGCGGCCATGACCTGAAGGGTGAGCACTGGTCCGGGAGCCACAGAGGTGCCGCTGGAGCCCAGCTGAGCCGTGTGAGCTGCAGCCTGGTCTTACAGTTGGAAAACCCCAGGCTCCTCTTCAGGTGAGTGAGGAGGACCAAATGCCTACCTTGCTTGGATGTGAAGGGGGTAAATCGGGCCCAGCCCTTTGCAGAACACCTCAACAAGAGGAGAGGTACCCAGTGATAGCATGCTTGTTATTATCAGCATGCCAATTATACGATCATAAATCAGCATGATCACTTTTATCAGAAATTATTTCTGCGTACAGTACTTTGTTTTAAATATACATATGAGGGGGCTTCAAAAAGTTCATGGAAAATTGAATTAAAAGATAAAAATTTATTTTGGTGCAAAAAAGATTTTGAAATCCATGATTTTTTTTTATGTGTGTTTCCCTTGTACTGCTTGAAAACCCGTGTGTGTGTATGTACATATACACATCTTGTGTATACAAAATAAATGTTCAAATTGGGCTAATTTCTATTTATTTTCTATATATCAGAAATTAGGAGCCAACATCGTGGTGCAGCAGATTATTGGAGCATTGGTTCAAGTCCTGGGTGCTCTGCTTCCAATCCAGCTCCCTGCTAATGCACCTGGGAAAGCAGTGGAAGATGGTCCAAGTGCTTGGTTCCCTGTTACCCATGTGGGAGACCTGGATGGAGTTCCTGGCTTCTGGCTTTGGTCTGTTCTAACCATTTGGGCAGTAAGCCAGTGGATGGAAGATCTCTCTCTCCCCATCTCTCCCTCTCTCCTTCTCCCTCTCTCTCTGTCATTCTGCCTTTCAAATAAATAAATAAGTCTTTAAAAAAAAGAAACACGGATGAGGGCATACTAGTGATCTCTTTATAATGCTGGCAGACACAAATATGGCATTTAGGAAATATTACTGCTATACTGGTCCATGGGCACTCAATTACTGTGGTTAAGTTGAATACTTGCTTGTTAAATGGTTATAAATCCATAAGGGAGGAATAGAGACCTAACAGGCCTGACTCGGGACCCTGCCAGAGGAATCTGGGTCATTCCTTAGGAGCACATGTGGGCTCAGGCTTTAGGGACATTGCCGACGTGTCACCCATCCCGCGGACATGCAGGCAGCAGCCTTCATTCTCTGTAGGAATGCATCCAGGTATGAGGCTTTAGAACTTCAACAGGTCATCAGTCTCGATGATGGAATTCTTCTAGAATTTTCCTTAGGACCTAGAATCCTAGAAAGACCTTTCAGCTCTCATAACCCAGCCACTCCATATCACATGGTCTTTGTTTCTAGGAAGTGACTTCAAGATTGAATGTCAAGGTTTCAAGTCTTTTGCCCGCAGGACCTACTAGGAACTGTGTGGAAAGGCTGTGGGCTGGGGACCTTCAGCAGTTGTTATCCATGGATCATCTAACTCAATCTACAGAGAGCCAGTTCACTTATTTAACAAGCATCTCTTGAGCTTCCCTTCTACTAAGCTACAGGATAAATCCTCACATTTATTGGGTGCTGTAGTAAGTATTTCATAAGCATCATCTCATTTATTCCCCCAACTGCACTTATTTTACAGATGTGGAAATTAGAACTCAGAGAGGTTAAGTAACATTCCCAAGAGACACAGCTGCTTATCAGCGGAGCCAGGAGTGGAGCCTACGTAGCCTAGACCCAGTATGCCCACTTCCATGCAGAGAGTACTGCCTTTCCTGTGCCTAAGACCGGGCACATCAAGGACCCCTGCTCTAGAGTGGGTGTCCCATGGCAATGTCAGCATTCCCCAAAAAGAAGGCCAACTGATACAAGATCAAGGAGGGCTGCTTTGATAGCATCATGTGGTCTTGGTGCCTCCCAGCAGTCAAACTATCAAACCCTCAGGGCTCTATCATGAGTTAGCAAAACAGAAGCTAGGGGAGGAAAGAAAGCCACTTACTGCCCTTTGTTAGAAAGACACTGACACCAGAAAGGAAGCTTTACAAACAAATACTCATAGAGCCCTATAAAATGTCAGGCACAATTCTTATATCCCCAGTGATAATGATGATGCAGAGAGGAGAGGAGAGAGGCTAAGGAAGAAAAGAGACAGTGAAGGAAAAGAGAGAGATACAGCAGAAGTAAAGATGAATGGTCATGCCTCCTCCTGCCACAGACTCTTAGATCCAGGCAAAAGCATGGGAGGAGAAATGGTGGGGGATGGGTAAAGCCAGAGAAAGAGGGAGAGAGGACATATCCTATCTCCAGCTTCCTGGAAAAAGGTTCACGGGAGCTGGCATGGGTTCTGTGCCATCTGGCTGGATCAGACCTGCATGGGACAGAAGAGGCAAGGAATCCAGAGGACAAGAGTCTCCCCTAGCTCCTGCAGTGGGAACCCATAGGAAGTCATAAATAAGCTATCCTCTTGCCAGCTTCCCCTCCTGCAAGACCAGGCCATTCCGAAAACGGGGGAGCAGCATGCCGTACCCCCTCCTCAAGTGTAAGCGATGAATGGCTCTGTACTGGGCCAGTAGGAGGACAAGGAGCTCTCTGTGAGGCTGGTCCTAGGTACCAAGGTCTTGCTACTTTAATGGGTTTGGGCCACTCCATTCTTTGACTTTCTGCAAGTGTTAGGGATGGCTCAAGCCAGGACTTCTGGCTCATTTGAATGCAGGGTCACTCAAGGGGATGATTGGGCCAGTAAGAAAACCCCAGAAATCAATGCAATACACAGAATTCATGTGTTGAGTACTGAGCAAATCAGATGCACACAGAAATAAATCCAAATATGTTCTCTTTCCCCCACCTCTTCTCTCTCTCTCTCACACACACACACACACACGTCCCAGCTTCCTTCTGATTTGTTCCTAGTGTTCCTAGTGTTCTGAGCTGGGCCATGGGGAGTTGGAACCCCTGAGCGATTTGAGATGACGCCAAAGCTCCTAATGCCAGATATGGAAAAGTTGAGTCTGAGTAAACACACTTGGTCTTCCCCCCCTTCCTCTCCAGATCCTCAGTGCTCCAAAAAGTAAACACTGCCAGAGTAGTGAACCACTTCTCTGTCCACCCGGGAAGCATTCTGGGTCCAGCCATTGAGCTCCCTCCCGCAGCCCTGGTGGAAAGGCTCCAGCCCCAGTAGACAAAGAACACAGCAGCTGGCTTTGGTCGAGGGCTGCTTCTCTCTGTGTCTTTAGATGTGTACACTTAGACACGCCGACAGGGAAGCAGCCAAGTTTGTGTTTGTCGTCTACGGGCACGAGGGCTGTCAAGGGTCCTCCAGAAGTACCAACGTTCCCTAAGCAAAGAGGACTGCTGGCGCCCCAGCGGGCACAGGGCAGGTCCCTTCCACGGGGGGCTCCTCGGACTATCTGCGTCTCGATGCAACTGCATGCTTCATTTCATCCTCCTGATTAGAATAAACATAACATTTTCCATGCAATCTGCCTCTAGTGCTTCTTAAATGAAGCTGTGTCTCCCTCGGGGAAATACGCATCTGCTTGCTGTGATTTTTTCAATGGTTTGCTCATTGGACTACATATTAAATCCGCTTTAAGAGCTTCAGTCACCAAATGGCTTTAAGTATATTTGTCTCTGTATCGTCCCTCCCCAATCTGAGTCGCTGAGAAAGTTTTTTTTTTGGGGGGGTGGGGGCTGGCGGGGGGGTGTTCCAGGTGAAAAGAAGGGCTGCAGATGCAATGTAACACGATCCTCCTAGGAAACCCACTGCACTGGGTCTGCAGTATGGAAGGTCCACGGCCCCCACCCGCCCAGGCCCTCTTTGATTTTCCAAGCGCTGTTACCTTTGCCTGCAAGGAGAGCTCGGAACCTGAGCCTTCATCTCCAGAGGAGGAGGTGGTGGAAGACGGGGGAGAGGGAGCCTCCGTCACCTGTGCTCTGACAGGGATGCGCTGGGGGCCTGAAATGGGAACAGAAGGACTCAGTGAACTGCTAGCTTCTTTTCCTGCTCCACGACCCAAAGCTGCCTCGCCCTCCTCCCCACTTCTCCCCATTCCCTTTCTCCCCGCCTGCCCCTCACTGCACCTGCCAGGAGCGTGAGGCAGCAGTACCTAAGGGCAACTGAAAATTTGGCCCTCCACGTTAATTACATTTCTGGACCCCTGCCAAGGGCTTTGCAGCTCTCTTTTCACATTAAGAATAGAAAAAGGTATTATGCAGAAATCAATTAATTCCTTAAACACCATTTATAGGGTGTGTTGCTTAGAATGCATTCAGAGATGAAATCCATTATTAAAATGCATGTCTGAAGTTAGCTGAGTTACCTAAATGCTTGTGTAACGTTCGTTCTGCAGAGTAATTGAATGCAAAAAAAGTCAGAGCCAGCTCTTAAACAAATCGCCCTTCTGCGGCTCACAGCATCTGGCACCCATTTTTACTACATGACATCTGCTCAGTGTAAAAGAGCTGGCGTCAGAATGTCTGGTCATAGAAAAAAAAAAAAAAAACCTCCCAAATGTAATCAGAAGCAAAAGGACTCTAAGCCCAAGGTTTTATCACATAGTCTCATGCAACATAAATATTTCATTAATTATGGCTAAACAAATGCCACTTTTATTTTCCCAACTTGCAGATATTATCACACTGTTGAAGTGATGATCCCGGTGCCAGGAAAGGCAGTTCAAGATAGGGAAGGCTCAACAATGGAGGGCCCACGGGACAGCCATAGTGGGGGGCGGGGATACGCCAGCCTCGGCACACGCGGTAGACGGTCGCAATGTGCCCATGCCAACCAAACTCTCCTTGCGAGCTGGCTGGGGACCACGTGAGAGAAGGTCTTCCAGGTGCTGCGGGCAGCTTTTATCCTTCTCAGTGAGAACATCTGCTTCTACACATCAACCTGATGCAGAGTCAATGACGGATATCTGGACTAAGCCACTGTAGACACTGGGCGTGAGAGCCTGTTACGAATTCAGGATAGGACATAGGACGGTGACCACCCTTACCCTGCCCTGGCAGCTTGGACGTGAATAGAAATACGTGCTGAGTGTGTGGTGAGGAGGGGTGGAGAGGGAGGGGGTGGAAAAGCAATTCCAGCTCAACTCACGTTTTCTCCACCCTGCCTTCTTCCCTCCATAATTTGAAAGTATTCACCCCAGTGGGAGAGGCCAAGTTTTACAAAAGAAGGGTAATTTTAACCTCCAGGAGCCCATTTACATATGCTGTTATTTGAAGCAAAATAATGCCAAACATGTATATAGTAACACAGCCACTCCGGGGAGGGAGGTTGCTGTTTTCCGCTTTAATTTGCCAGATGGGAAAGCTCAGGTGAAGATTGGATCAGGGCAGGGCACCATCATGGGAGGAGGCGTGGTTAGGCCTGAACTGGGGTGGTGGCCTCCTTGCAGCCACTAAATGCCATGGAGTAATTCAGAGTCTGAGCACGCCCTTGGAGTGTGTGAGCCTGAGGAACTCACTGCACCTCCCTGATTTCTCAGAATCACAATTTCTAACTTGCAGCGTTGCTGGGAAGGAGCAATGCTAAGCGGCATAAATTGCCCAACACAGCACCCAGTAGTACACTGTGTGTGCAGGAGGAAGCCTTATCGTCATCAGCATCAGCATCATCCGTCAAAGTATCAACACTGCAAGATTAGCAAAACTGCCTAGTTACCCTTCAGTCCTGGAAGAAGTAAATACAAACCTAAAGCTGAAATTTAACTTTCAAAAAATATTTCCATTCAATGGCACCTTGAAATCGAGGACAAACTGTGTCCAAATATAATGCACATGTTAAACTGGCAGGAGAAAAGAGATAGAGCCACTTCATTCTCTTCTCCTTCACCCTCAAGGAGGTCATTTTTGGTTTGCAGTTTTTAGAAACTTTGTAGCTTTGTTCCATTCCCCCAGTGTTGCAGTGACTGATTCTGGAATTGATCTTCAACCACAAAGCTCTAGCAGTCAGGACAAATGTATATGGAGGATCTGTTTCCAGACATCGGGGCAGGTGGTAATACAGAACTGTGTCAGAGGCAAGAAGTAGCACAGAACAGCCCCACGTACAGTGGGCTTCTGCCTGCGGGCCCTCCACAGACTGCCGTGGACACAGGAAGGAAGTATCTATGGAGAGGAGCGAAGACAGAGATGGGACTTTGGGGCACACTGAGGAGCTGGAATGTGTGGGGCACAGCCCTGGAGAGGAGCTATGCAAAAACAGCATGGTAGTCCCTGTGAGTCTACTGCTTAACAGTTAGCTACGGATGGGTAGAGAGAAATTCCATGAGGGTGGGGAGAAACTACTGGGAAATCACAGGCAAGCAATCCCCAAAGCTTTTGCAGGACTGGGAAATGTTCAAGTTCTACCCAGCCAGGGCGGAACAAATATGTGAGGCTTGAGCAGAGACCATGAAAGAGTCACACTTTATTAACAGGGGCTGATTAGCCCTGGAGTACAGGCTATTACATACCTGAACAATGCCGCTCACAACGCAAGCCTCAGGGGAACAAAGCGAACTAAAAGGGACTTCACTGCCTGCCAAACATTCTTTACTCCCTAGGTAATGTTCTTTCTTTATTTTTCTGAAAGATTAATGTATTTATTTGAAGGGCAGAATTACACAAAGAGGGAGGGGGAGAGGGAGAGAGAAAGAGAGACAGAACGAAATCTTTCGTCTGCTGGTTCACTTCCCAAATGGTTGCAATGGCCAGGATTGGGCCAGGTTGAAACCAGGAGCCTGGAATTCCATCCAGGTCTCCCACAGGAGTGGCAGGGGCCCAAACTCTTAGGCCATCCTCTGCTGCCTTCTCAGGCACATCAGCAGGGAGCTGGATCAGAAGTGAAGCAGCCAGGACTCAACCCAGCTCATATGGGATGCCAGTGTTGCAGGGGGTGGCTTAACCAGATGCACCATGACACAGGCCCCTATTTAAACATACTTTAAATATAGAAATAAAATCTAGACACTCTACAGTGTAATTGCCTCATGCCTAATAGTGTAGCAGCTGGTAAACAATGACTGTGTGTGTGTGTGTGTGTGTATGGCAGGATGATTTGAAAATCAAGAGAAGAATTAGAGAGTAAAATCAGACCTAGAAATGACAGATACGATGGAATTAGCACACAACAATCCTGAAATAGATACAATAAGTGTACTCAAGAGTTTAAAAAGAATGTTCCCCCCAACCCCCCCCCCAAAAAAAAAAAACCTGCTAGACTAATAAACAAGTTTGAAAGTTGCAGGTTACAAAATTAATATATAAAAATCTGTAGCATTTCTACACACTAATTATGCATTATCAAAAAGAAATCCTAGAAACTCATGGAAGCAGAGAGCAGAGTGTTTACCAGGGACTAGGGCTGGGCTGGGGAGTCAGAGAGATGCTGGGCGAGAACACAACATTTCAGTTACAAGGAACAAGTCAGTACAACATGATGACTAGAGTTCATCATTATGGTTTGCATTCTGGAAAACTGCTAAGAGAACAGACTCTAAGTGTTCTCAACACAAAAGCTGACAAGTTTGTGAGATAATGCACATGTCAGTTTCAGCTCTCTTGTGTCATTCTACAATGCAGACATTGTAAAGTGCCATGCTGTACACAATAAATATATATAACTTTAGTCATTTAAAGCAATTTAAACAAAAATTTTAAAATAAAACATGAACTTAATGAATACAGATGATACAAAGAATAAAAAAGAACCTAAAAATTAAAAATACAAAAGAGCAAGTAAAAATTTCATCTGACTATTTTAATAGCAGATTAAGCACTGCAAAGGCAAAAAAATCAGTGAAATTAAATAACAGCAGTAGGAATCATCAGAAATGAGGCACAGAGGAAAAAGTGAAACGGAAAAATGAACAGAGCCTCAGTGACAAAATCAAGAGGTCCAAAATACGTATGACTGGACAAGAGATGGGGAGACAGGAACAAAAAAGGTAGGTGACGCATTATTGCCAAAAAACACATACACAGAAAATCTTAAGAGCAGACAAAGAAGGGGCAGGTGTTTGGTCCAGCATTTAAGATATGGTTAAGACCTGTGCATCCCATATTGGAGTACCTAGATTTAAACCTGGGCTCTGCCTCTAGATTCCAGCTTCCTGCTAAAGCAGACCCTGGAAAGTAGCAGGTGATGTTTCATGTACTTGACTCTTTGTCTCACATGTGGGAGACCCAGATTGAGTTCCTGGCTCTCTACTTTGTCTTGGCCCAGCCCCAGCCATTGTGGGAATGTGAGGAATGAACCAGTGGATGGAGTTCACTCTATCTCTCTGCTTTGCAAATAACAACAATACTTAATAACAAAATAATATAAAAAATAAGACAAAAGTGATACATTATAGAGAAACAAAGAACCCTAATAAGAGACAATGAGATACTATCATCATAATACTGAAAGAAAATAACTTGCCAACTTATAATTCTATATCCAGCAAAACTACCCTTCCAACAATTTGTTGCTAGCAGATATGCATGCAAAAATCTGAAAAGTTCTGTAGCAGAACTATACAAGATACCAGGCAGAATGAATAATTTCAGAGATGATAAATATAAAATATTTTTTCTTCTTAGTTTTTAGTGTGGTTTGTAATATAGACATATAGATAGAAATAGGGATACAAATAAATGAATAAAATGTTTTTGAACATACACTAAGGCAAAAATGTATTAAAAATAACAAAAAAGAGGAAGAAATAAAAGTATATAAGGATATTCCAAAAGTTTATAGAAAAGCCATATTATGAAAAATACATTCATGAATTAAATTTTTTTCCACCAAAATAAACTCCTACTGACTTGTTATATCCTGTCTTAATGATCGAGTTTGAGGCACTAAGGAGGATAAGACATTAACTTGAAAAAGCTCTTATCCGAGAAACACGAATTCTGCTAAAAATGAAGCAAGAGCAATCACTGAATTAATGGTGAGCTCAGATGGAAGAATGCTAAAATTGC